ATTGGTCAAGTCTCAATATTGTGTTATGAGTATAAATACATATAATACTCTTTGATTTTATGCTGAAAATGGAATAAAACATTGATTTGATCTTTAAAATTACATCTTTTTATACCTGACCTTTAAAAGTTAATTAAATTTTTTTTATTTTATAATGTATACTCTATTTTTAGTATATAAAAGATACAAAGTTTTTTTTGGCAAATAATTTTTTGGTTTTTGTTTTGACATTTTTTTATGTGTAGGTAATCCCACCATTTTTTTCTAGTTTTTAAAAGAGGATGTTTTTTAAACCTCTTAAGGTTTTAAGGATTTTTTTATCAGTGTCTATAATTATTCGGTTACATTGGGAGCTACAAATAGAGGGTGAATATGTTTGGCACACACAGTTGCACTCTTGTAACATGTGGGCACATGCACAAGGTTGTAGAAGAAGAAGAAGTGCATTGACGGGCGAAAAGAAGAGGAAGAGCAGAAAAAGGACAACGAGCTGAGCACACACTTACACACACTTCTAAATTGATAGAAAGAGGGAGCAGTCAAGCTTCGTGTATTTTTGGCACACAGTTCGCCCCCCTATTTTTCCCTCTCTTTCACGCCTTCGCTATCCCATTTCGCTTTGGTGCATTCAACCTGCTGGGGAGCGAGACAGGTGCATTTACAGTTCCTCGAGATCACTCAACAGCTGTGTGAGTGATGGCGAATTGGGAGAGAGAGTGAGAAAGAGAGGGGAGACTAATTTATTGTGCTTATGCGAAACAATTCCAAATAAATTTCAGTCAAAAATTTTACAATAAATATATTTTATGATTTATATCCCTTTCAATAAAAAATCTACAGAAACCTTTGATTTATCGATCTCAAGAATTCAAGAAATTAGTATCCGTTAAAATAATATTAATATTATGTATATACATATATAATAGTAGATTTTCGTGATACATGAATTCATAAAAACGACGCATAAACATGATACTAACTTAAAATGCAGTGTTAAAGATCCATAAAATGTATAGCTAAAGCCCGGAAAAAGTGAGAAACACAGGACTTTGGAGACAACGCAATTTGCTGAACTTTAATGCGTAGCAAAGCAAATCGAAAACTGCAGTAAACAATGAAACGTTGCTAACTGCTTCCCCTATACCACCCACACCACCCAACCCCACCCCTTTTTCCATGCTTTGTTATTGTTGGCCTGGCTTATAGGGGGTTGTTGTTGCTGCGTTGATTTGTTCTGTTGTTGGCTGGATAAGGCGATGGCGCATGCAACAAATTGCGTTCTACCAACAACAGGAACAGAGAAATTCAGAGATGTGATACAAAAGAGTACAGCTAGAAATATTGAACAAAAGGGAAAGTTATAGAAAAATTAAGATATAAAATTTATCTATTGTCAATGTAAAAATAATCCTATCTAAATAAGTATTTTCAAGTATAAACTCATCATCAAATTGAGATTTTTGTTATTAAATGGGTAATATATTTTAATCCTACAACAATAAAAAACAATTTTAGGTTATATGTATTCATCCTAAAAATAATTTGATGATAAATATTAAATAGATAAATAGCAGCGCTGAGAAGAAGACAACACAAAGACCCACACAGAATCGCCTCTCGATGACGTAGTTTGTTTTCCAGCTGAATTCCAATTGCAATTGTTGAAATTACCCCACTTGGACGAGGAAACCAGAACGCTCTTAGAGAACGAGAAAATATTCGAGATAGGAAAATGTTCTGGGGAAAGGGTGGGAAAGGAGCTCGGTTTTCTCACCACCAGCAAATAGAACCATCTATGTACCTCCCTCCTCTCGAGCACATCGAAATCGCCGGAGTTGTCGTCATCCAAGGAATGATTAACAAAAACAGTTGATTGAACTTTGTTTGGCCTCCGCACATCCCACGGCGAATGTTTGTGCTTGTGTGTACTTGAAATGCCCCACTTTGCGGTGTGGGGCTAATAATTTCGGGTGTTAATGACCAGAGCACTGACTTTGAACGCCGCAAACAAGTCCGGCAATTGTATTCCAAAGATTGATGGGGAATACTGGCTGGGCCAGGAAATTCAGATGCGATTCGGGATCCCCTCTCGATGTTTTTCATGGGAAAAATACCCGCCGTCCTGAAATAAAACTTGAACTGCTGAATATTATATGATGAACCTTTTCGTACCTTTAGTCCAAAATAAAAAATGCATGTTTTAAACACAAAGTGTTACAAAATTAACATACAATATTGATTTTGAAAACGAGATATTAATTTTAAATAATTAAATAAATTTTAAAATGATATTGAACTAAAAATATTTCATTTGACAGTTTGTATTTCAAATATATTATTTTTAACCAAAGTTACCTCAGAATTTCATTAAGATTCCTTATATAGATGTAATAATTAAAAGATTTAAGAACATTTTCCGCTTGACGCAGACGAGGCGAGATGAACGGCTGTCGAATGGTGGGCGTTTTGGTTAATGCCCGGAAAATGGTCCCAAAGAGGTGTCATTAGACTCATATATTCGGTTTTGTATTTTGTATATTGCTTGTCGCTTAATATTTTAGATACATAGCTACAATTTGGGTTGTATATGTAAAAAACACGATATGCTGACACACATAAAGGCAGAGATTCTTCAACAGTATACAAAAAAACGTATGCGTTTGGACGGAACATGACTTACAGCTAATTACGCAGATTCGTGTATAAAATTTGTGGTATTCGAGAGGCGCATCTCTAAGGCACTGAACTGGTGGATGGAATGTACAATATAGTTTAAGAAATGTTTGAGTGCGAAGCATGGGGCTTGTCTTGTGCTGCTTTCGGACGGTCTAGATTGTGCAATTTCGTTGTGAGCCCCTTTGATGGGTGGAAAATACTTGGTTTAGCCCACGGGCATGGTGGACACGGTGCTGTGAGGAGTGGTTGGCCGCGATCCAGCCAGTGAATTGGCGGTAGAGGCATGCAGGGAAGCCATTGTGCCCATCTAAAAGGTAAATGTAATCATTAAGTCACAAATTACTGTGATTGGTTTAAAAACATACGCGTAAATGGGCCAGATCCTCCAGTTTGGTGAGATCCACCAGTTCCAGGAACAGGGAGTACACCACAGCCCAGCCATAGATGCACAACACACAGAAAAGACCACAGGAGCACCATAATCACATTGTAGGCAAAGTACAGATCGTTGACAATGGCGAAGAAGATCAAGGCCAAAGCGCGCCAAACAGTGAAAACGGCAAAGGTCCACAGCCAGGGCATTACCTTCCTTTCATATTCCTAAAGGGGAATACAGAAATCTCAGATTAACATGGGTTTTAAGTAGAGGACTTTTGCCAATTAATGGGTTTTCGGTGCTAATTTCTTTGTTATGATTGTGCAGGATGCCTTTGTTACCCTTTTGCTCAGTAAGCGTTTCTGTGCTCCCAGTTTTTTATGCTTTCGGGCAATGAGAAATGTAAATGAATTGCATGCTTATAGCTGTGGAATCCCTGATCCCAGACACAAACTTACCTTGCGCAGGGCCACGCAGAGAAGGACGCTAGTCACAAAGTTTATCAGCGCCAGGACAAGCGAGAATAATGCAAAGACAATCAGCATGTTGCGAACTGCAAGGATAACAAATGGTATAGTAGGATATATGAATGGAGCAGGATTCCAATTGGTTTATACATTAACATAATTATAGTACAATAGAAATGTAAAAACTTATAAGCTAATAGACAAAATAATGGTTTCCAACTTAAAATCCTTACCATGTTTGTTGCCCACATAGACGAACTCATAGGATATGATATAGTAACCATAATGTGTGGATCCTGGCGCAGCCATAGCATAGCAATAGATGTCGAAAATACTCGTGGCAATGGTGAAGAGTGATAGGAACTGAAAGGGCGAATCATGTTATAAAAAAGGAACATTTATATAAGGATTTTCAGATCCTACAATGGCAAACAATCCGATGAGCATGGCACCCTTCTGTATGTCGATATACTGGTTGTTTTTAAGCAGCGGTCGTTGGTACCAGGGAATCCTCACGGATCGCGTGGATCGGGACATCTTGGAGTGCAAATTCGTCGAGGATCTGAAGGGATATACTTATAAGATTGGTTCCATAACCAAAAACTATATAGATGGACATACCTTCCAGTGGCGTGGGAATAAACCGACGGATTGGACCGATATGTGGAGGGCGTTTTCCTGCCGTAATTCATCATGAAGCCTTGTAAGTCAGTCACGTGTACAAAAAAAGGGAATCCTTTAGCAATCCTTCAGGCAGCTACTAAAATATTTAAAAATATCTGTTATTGGAAGCAATCTTTATATTTCGTTATTGAGCAGGGGTGTTTGCTTAATTGTGTATTTTGGGTGTGTCAAGCAAGGCTTAACATTTTCGAAAACTTTAGCCATGATTTAATTACTCTTAACGAGAGTTTTTTTGAAAACTCTTTTGTTGGACATTTCAATGGTTTGAAGTATTCACAAATTCCTTTACTAAGGCCATTGCATTTATTTACCTCTAAAAAACGAAAAATTAATCACCTCGCAACGCATCAAAAACAAAACACACGAATCAGGGCTTAGTAATTTCCAGGGCTGCAAGCCAAAGTTAGCAAATCGATAAAATAAACTAGTTCATCAACCAATTCGATTATTCAGTTGGCGCGCAAATTTAAAATATCTTAAGTAGCGCTCAATAAAACTGGATAATATTAAAACTTCACTCAAGACTTATTGTGGCAACTAAAAGCTGATTAAAATATAAAAATGGGAGAATAATTATGAAGATAGATTGGAGCAAAGTTAGTTTTTATGTTTAATTAGGGTATTCCTTGAACTGCTGAATTGTTGAATTTGGTTTAGACAATTCACCATCTACATCCGTTGAATGGATACTCAGACTATGATTTTATTTCCACCTGACAAAATTATGCGGTTCTAAATTTGAATTCAATAGATAGTTATCGATAGATTTCAGCAAAGCAAGTCCCTAGCCCTGAACGATTGTTGCCATGGTTTTTGCGTGTGTGTGTGAGCAGAGGAGGCCAAAACATTCGACCGATGGAAAACATAAACATTTAAAAATATTTACCCCAGAACTAAATGACCGGCCCAAGATGTCACTGCCGCGGATCACGGACTTCGAAATCCTCGAAAAACTCGGAGCGGGCAGCTATGCCACCGTCTACAAAGCGCGGCACAAAGTGGGGCACCAGTTACATACACATTGCATATCTGCAAACGCCACCATGTTATAAGTCTAATATTTACGTTTTAACTTTACAGAAACAGCGCACTTATCACGCCATCAAGTACGTGGAAATGTCGACGCTGTCGCAAACCTCGCGGGAAAACCTAATCACCGAGATACGCCTCCTGAGGGAACTCAAGCACAAGTACATTGTGACTCTACAGGACTTTTTCTGGGACGACAAGTAAAACATGGTTTTTATATATACTTAGCGGATGAATCATCCTTACAGAAGTTTGTATAGGATATAGTAGTATAGGATAATAGTATTTGGGTCAGAGTTTACTCACAGACCTATACTGATTTACCTGATAATATTATCTCATGCTATCATTTTTGGACTTCAATATGTTTAAATCCTTCTTTTAAAGAGTTAAGCTTATTTCATATGTTAATACATATAGTGTTTATCCTTGACCATGTATCATCCTCACAGCAGCTGTCATAAAGATTAATTATCTATACAGAGGAGACCATGGTCTTTAATAAGTCTTATATCTTATGCTTTAAAAAAAGTTTAATTGATGTACGATTATGTTAAACATCCAATTGTGAATAAGTTTAAACAGTTTTCATGTTCTTTAAACTATTTTCTTTTAAAAAAGTATAAAAATGAACCTATTACTGATATTTACCATTCTTTCCAGAAACATTTACATCGTGTTAGAGTACTGCAATGCCGGCAATCTATCCGCTTTTATACGAACCAAGAAGGCCTTGCCGGAGAGCACCTGCCGCTACTTCTTGCGCCAGTTGGCGGCCGCTGTTCAGTACATGCGAGCCAACGATGTGTCCCACTTTGACCTCAAGCCACAAACCTGCTGCTCACCCGGGGAGCCAACAACGTGTCCCTGAAGGTGGCGGACTTTGGGTAGCTACCAATGAAATCCTTGACATACATACCCTATATAACAATTTATATTTATAGGTTTGCTCAGCACCTGAAGCTGGGCGAAATCAATCAGCAGCTGAAGGGCTCGCCCCTCTACATGGCCCCGGAGATTGTGCGCAAGCATCAGTACGACGCCAAGGCGGATCTCTGGAGCATGGGGTGATACTGTACGAATGTTTGTTCGGCAAGGCGCCGTACAGTTCGCGAACCATTGAGGAGCTGTTGCTGAGGATCAGGAAGGCGAGGCCATAACACTGCCACCAAACGCTCGCATCAGCAACGAGTGCCATGATCTCCTGCGCCGCCTTTTGGCTCACGAGCCCACGGCACGCATTTCGTTCGCCGACTTCTTTGCGCATCCCTTCCTCGATCTCAAGACGTTTCCCACAGAGCACACCCTGCAGAAGGCCATTGATCTGGTCACCAGGCGTGCTCGTACGATGAGAAGCGCAACTACAAGGAGGCTTACTATTTGTACTGCAGTGCTCTGCAATATTTTGTACCATTGATCACCGAGGAGGCGGACGCCACCAAAGGCTGGCATTGCGCAATCGTGCCTTGTCGTACACCAAGCGTGCGGAGGAGATCAAGAATTGCATAATCGAGGACGAGTACCGGATGTTGGCCGAAAGGCAACGACAGGCGGGTCATCTGCCACGGCTAACCCAACCACAGAGCCTTCTCCAGCTGTCCAAGCTACCGAAGCGCAGCCCAGCAGCTCGCGGGTGCAGAGATGCTGGAACCAGATGCCCGTTATAAGCAGCTGTGTATGGTTTTTGAACTTAATAAAACTCCTATTAGTTATAACATTCCTCCCTTTAGTTGCCCTTTCGAACTCGAGTCCGTCCCTGAAGACTGGCCTGGAAATCGGACGGAAAGGCGAGCTATATCTTTACGAGCGCAAGCTGGACGCGGCCTTGGAGTCTTATACCTCAGCGCTGGGCATTCTAGTGCCGTTTGTGAATAATGAACCAAAGGGCGAGCGCCGTAATCTGTTGCTGCAACAGGTTACCTTAAAGATACTTCATCCCAACAATAATAATATTGACACCCATTTTTCAGTTGGAATTCTGGATGAAAGAGGCGGAGAGCATCAAGAGCATTTTGAGCGCCAAGCACATGGACGAGGAGGAGCAGAAGCTGTCCACGGTACGCAGCTGCAGCATACAGTAGTCAACAGAATATAGATTTGAATTCGATGAGCAATTTCCGGCGCCTGGTGCGCATTTGTTAGAGTATTTTTGTAGGCCGATGTCCAAGGAGCATCGCTTAGTCACGTAGCCTTCTATTGATCTTATATACATATACGATATACAGATATACAATGTCTATACTAGATTCGCTTTCTATGTACAGCAGAACCATGAACGCTATTTGTACCGCTCCCCCCAAAAACCTATTCGTATTTGTATCTGTTATGTATGTCCTAACACCGATGGCCTTCCACTTGAAACTAACCCACTGTTTGTTTGCGGCTGTAAACCGTTGTTAAGTTTTAAACCTTTTGGATTTTCTATTTTAAGCGCACTTCAATGAGAACCATCACATTCCCGGGCTGGTCAAGACCACCGCTTTTGTATTTCATTCTGTTCATTGTGCTTAATTTGATTAAAATTGTTTAAAGATAACCGAACCACTAGCTTTTTGATATTGGCGGAGATAACGCGTTAGTGGCGCTCTGTAGTAATCGTGGATGTATAATCTCGTCCTATCAATCGCCGTAAATAATCGTAATCAATGGGTAATAGCAATGTCAGGAAACTTATAAAAGTGGCTGTTAGACGATCAGCGCGCATGTTTAGTCAAAAAATGTCGTCGACTAAAGACCTTTGCCTGGCGGTGATCGCCCTCCTGGCCATCGTGGGCTTTCCCAGGCTGCTCCTCCTTGGGACGTGTGGTAAATGGTACGGATTCCAGCGTGGAAAATATCCCTTCGTGGTAAGTCAAGGCAAATTCTTGAAATATTACTTGAAAATAAAACTTGAGACGTATATTTATACTTTTTCCGTTGAAAATTTTACTTACTACAACTTAATACTAATCTATACTTTGTTATCCTTTAGATTTCGATGCGTGGTTCCAGCGGCTCTCATTCTTGTGGCGGCTCCATTATTTCCAAGCAGTTTGTGATGACCGCCGCCCATTGTACTGCTGGCCGTAGAGCCTCAGACCTGTCGGTACAATATGGAGTGACCACGATCAGTGCCAGCGGTCCCAATGTAGTGGGCGTTAAGAAAATCATACAGCACGCGGACTACAATCCCTACAACAATTATGCCAACGATATTTCCCTGCTGATGGTGGAGGAGCCCTTCGAGTTCGATGGCGTTACTGTGGCCCCCGTTCAATTGCCGGATCTTGCCTATGCCACACCTCAAACGGATGCCGGTGGTGAGGGAGTGCTCGTCGGCTGGGGTCTTAATGCGGTGGGTTTTATTGGATTAGACATTTTGACAATTAACTTATCCTAACTTTAAATCCCCTTTAGACTGGCGGTTATATACAGAACACCCTGCAGGAGGTGGGCCTGAAGATCTACTCCGATGAGGAGTGCACTGCTCGTCATGAGGGCTCCACGGATCCCAGATACCACATCTGTGGCGGCGTAGACGAGGGCGGCAAGGGTCAGTGCAGCGGGGATTCCGGTGGTCCTCTGATCTACAATGGTCAGCAGGTGGGCATCGTATCCTGGAGCATCAAGCCCTGCACCGTGGCTCCCTATCCGGGTGTCTATTGCAAGGTTAGCCAGTACGTCGACTGGATCAGAAGCAGCCAAATCATATTGGCATAGTCATTCCATTATCTTGTCAATACTGAAAGGCTTATGCCTGCCATAAATAAAACTGATATGACGATTAAAGTGCTGATTTTTTAACCATTCATTGGAGTCAGTTAAGGCTGGGATTTGCCCTTTTTCATATAAGCAAGATCACAAGATATGGTCACGTTTTTATTATCTTTGCTAAAAAATTAAAATATTTTAAATTAATTATTAACATTTAATTTTAATCAAATCAAAACGGTGTGTCTAGATTTCCTGAAGTTAAGAATTATTTTTCATAGCGTAGAAAATATATTTATGTCAGATAGCTTCTAAAGAATTTTAGCCAACAAAAATTCTCTAATCGTTGGGAAACCAAATTTTGCGCATTGTGGCCTTTCTTTTTTGAATGTTTTAATGATACATAGACAAGTGCCATTTTATATCAATGACGACAGATTTAATATACTCTTATCTGGTATCGTAAATTTTAATAATCGTTCAGGTTCTGCAAAGTCGGCAGGCTTATAAAAGCAGTAGCCTACCAGGGGGCATTTGTAGCCAAAAATGATGTTGAGTCAATATCTTAGTCTGGCCTGTAATTGTCTTTTGACCATTTCTACGGTTGGTCGGCTGCGCCTCCAACATGAGGGTTGTTAATGGTACGGATTCAGCGTGCAGAAATATCCTTATGTGGTGAGTAAAATAATGATGGGCAGGTAAATTATTAAAAGAGTCTTTCCTATCCTATTTTTTTAATTATATAAGAGAGAATTTTATTGTTGTTTTATTTTTTAAATTAATTAATCTTTTTTTTTAAGCTTTAAGCTTATATCTTAGATACACTCCTTATTTTCTTGACAAATCTTAGGTATCGCTGCGTAGCTACGATGGCGCCCATTCTTGTGGTGGAACCATATCTCCAATGATTTGTGATGACTGCTGCACATTGCACCAATGGACGTCTGCAGAAACGCTATCGATTCAGTTTGGAGTGACCAATATTAATATCAACGGACCGAATGTAGTGGGCATAAAGAAAATTATCCAGCACGAGGATTTCGATCCGAGTCGTCAAAATGCCAACGATATTTCGCTGATGATGGTTGAGGAACCCTTCGAGTTTGATGGGGTTTCTGTGGCTCCCGTAGAACTGCCAACTTTGGCTTTTGCTGTCCCCCAACCAGATGCTGGAGCTGAGGGTGTGCTTATCGGCTGGGGCCTCAATGCGGTGGGTTGTAATGGGATTATATGGTTAGTATATATTATTCAATATATCCCTTGTGTAGACCTATGGAAGTGTCCAGACCACCCTGCAGGAGGTATCCCTCAAGATCTACTCCGATGAGGAGTGCACCGCACGACACGGTGGCCAAACGGATCCCAGATATCACATCTGTGGGGGCGTGGACGAGGGCGGCAAGGGCCAGTGCAGTGGGGATTCCGGTGGTCCTCTGATCTACAATGGTCAGCAGGTGGGCATCATGTTCTGGAGCATCAAGCCCTGCACCGTGGCCCCTATCCGGGTGTCTTCTGTAAGGTTAGCGAGTACATTGACTGGATCAAACACAACTCAAATTAGTCACAAAGACCATTGTTCCATAAATTCAAAGTTAATGCACTTAATAAATAATGAGATTGTTAGCCATTATTTTGTTCGTTGGGGGGCGATAAGCTAATTATCTGTGTCATTATTATAAAGGCTTGGAGGTGCAATAAATACTGTCAAATATATTTTCAAGTTGTAATTTACCATATTTGCGTCGATGCACAAAGTTGATTGCTTGCTGATTTTCGGAGGTGGTGTTCATTAAACTGTTTATAAACTGTATAAGAAACAGATTGGAATATTTTTATTTTTTAAAATTACAGAAAATGTTTGGTCTTGTTCAAATTAAATTTTAATATTAAATTTGAATTATTACAATAAGTAAACAGTTTGAGAGGTACTGGATCAAAAAATGTTGCGCAACATTTTGCCTTGAAACATGTTGATAAGTGAGTTGCGCAACATGGTGCATGTTGATAATGATGCTGACGATGCACGGTGGGCAAAAAGTAGAAAAAATCAAAATTTTATATTGGCTTAGAAAGTTGTGACGCACCTCATTGACAGAAATTTAACTCTCAAAGTTAACCAATTCTTAATATAAAAAAACATCAAATTTTCCTAATTTACCTCAATTATAGGTAGAATATCTTTAAACTAGGTATCGATTCGTCTTACTTCTTGTTCTACTAATTGGTGTGGTAATTAAATGTAAAAAAAAAAAAAGCATTACCTTTCAAACACTAATTTTGAAGGCAGATCAACTATCTATCATATGCCTTTTAAATTATTCAATTACTCAGTTGGTTTAAAAGATACGATTTATTACCAACAAAGAGGCAAAAGGCACCACTGTGCAATGGTCCTACAGCCGCGCCATCAACTTCTGGCACTCACTTCTGGCAGTCAACATTTTCAACTCAGACGGAACGCACGGCTGCGCGGACTCAGATTGAAATAATTCAAAAGTTAGTGTCCGTTTTGGGTTTGAATTTATAAAGTGAACATAAATAAATAACTAAAAAAACAAGATTAAATCCTTATTATAAGAAATCTTAATAAAAGAAAAACTAGATATTTTTTTGAAATTCAAACCAAGGATCGACGATGTTTTGGCTGTTTTTTGTGTTATTACGCCTGCCATTGAGGAGGCCACAAAAAAATGTCGAAAAAATATTGCACTTGCCGCAGCACAGAATGCGGAAGGTCGTCCATTATGATGGACCAAAACTCGTTGCATTCATTCGTTTAATTAGCAAAAACAGAAACACATAAAAAGAGAGGAAAGAACAGAAGTGACTCGTTAATTGGCTGCTGCGAGGGCCACATGGCGAATGCGTGATATTCGAGTCGAATAAAAAGGCAAGGCAGAGCAGCCTCAAATTGATCCAGCCCCGACTTTTGCCCCATTTCTCCTTCGTTTTTCCCAGCCTCATATATATTTCAGCAAATCAAATCAAAACCCAAAAGTAGGCAACAAAAGTACACAATGAGCGTACGTAATGCGATTTTGGGTTAGCCTCCAGCTCTGCTGCCGTTTCTCAAAGTATTTTCCGAAAAATTCGTGGAAACACTCTACGCTGTACGCATAGAAAAGTACTTTCAAACACCCCTTTACCTTTTCGCCCCCCCCTCGAAAATCCCAATCCCCACCCCCTCACATACACACACACACTCGCATTCGCGCATTTAACTAACAACAAAAGCAATTTGAAAACAATTTTTCGAGTTTCGAGTAAAACGTGTGCCCCTGTGCGGTCGTGGCCTACATGCTTATGGCCCAAAAAAAAAAAGGACAAAAAAATTATAAACTGGGCGTGGCAGCTGCTGGCAATTTGTAACACTCCAAACAAAAGGTGCACGCAACAAAAGTTTCCACGGCTTTTCTGATTTACTCGGCCACGAGAAGCTGCAAATAGATAAAATGACATTGAGGGGGAGAAAGTGCGAAATTTGCCACTTTTCTTAGCATTTTGTGGTTCTTATGAACATGCCTAGTTCTTGTTAACCATTAACTAAAAAAGGTTCTTAAATTGTTTCTTGAATATCAAAGAGGATCTTATATAAGTTAAATCAGAAAACTAATAATTTTTCAATGATTTCCTAAAATTTTGTTAAAATCTTGAACAAACCAGTTAGTTTCTAAATTCTTAAACATTATTTGTGATATTCGTTTTAAAAATTGATTTTTCTTTCATTTGAGGATTAACGATTAAACTTAGTAAAAAAATTGTCATAATTTCCATAATTCATCAATATAATATTTATATAATATCTTTTTTCTTTAAAAATTTAAAATCACATTTTTTAAATATTAGTCAGTTTTGAAACATTTTCAAATTGTTAGACTGCAGACAGAACTATGAAAATTACTTCTACAAAAAGTACAGGAAATGTTTTTTAATTAGGCCCAAAAACATTGTCGTCGATCCTTGGTAGAAAAAATAGAATATCAGTACAAAGAAAATTCCTATATTAATCAGAAACCGCAGCAGAAACGCAGGCTTCCAAAAAAGCGAAACGATTCCACTCAAAAGGAACAAAGCGAAATTTGCAATTTAAGTGAGTGAACGCGTCTTGCCTGTCATTGCATCAGTTTGTCAGTCAGTCAGCTCGTCAGTCTGTCCATCTATCAGTTCGTCTGTGAACCAGTGTGTGTGTGCCAGTGAGTGTGAACTCTGTGGTAAAGGTCAGAACTCATATGAAAATGTCGAGCGGCAACCAAGAAGCAATGTCAACAAAAGCACCTGTCACCGCCGTGGACGAGAACAAGGCCTCGTCATGATGCACCCAGAAAACCCATCATCATCCTCGTCGGGATTGCGATTGGAACGTTTTCGGCCAGCTACCATGTGAAGGCCTGGCCATCCTGGTGGCCATCGTCTTGTGCGGCGGCAGCCTGGGATTCGCCGACGGGCTCAAGTGCCACATGTGCGGCCAGTACAACGAGGGCGTGGGCTCCATCACGCCCTGCACCAACTACACCAAGGACATTGCCCATCTCTACCTGAAGGAGTGCACCAAGAAGAGCGAGAAGTTCTGCGTGGTGAGTTCTATTCATATATAACATGATCCCAAATATCAGCGAGTTTAAAGATATTCCGTTTTTGTATCCCACATCCAATTTTTTTTTGGTTTCCAGAAATTTATAGGTTTCCCAAAGGGATCTTATATTTTGAGTAGATCTATAGAATGAAAGATAACTACTGCATTGTATTTCAATTAAAATTTATATGATTTTTCTAATCTTCCCCTATCCAACATTTTTCAAAATCTTTGGGGAGTTGTCTCAGGCTTGTTAAGCTATATCCTCTATGGGATTTCCAGACAAGTAGGTTACCTCTAAAGAAAAAATAGTGATAATTCATGCATTGTATTCCAAATTCATCTAAATAAATCTGGTAACATTGTCCTATAATCAAGTTTTGAAAAAGTTTATAATATGAAAATCGTTATTAAACATTTAGAACCTCCAATTCATATAGTTTTGTCGAATTAGTTTTCTTATGCCGATCACTACTATTTTAATTTTCTTCTGTAACTATTTTTATCTTAAGCAAGCCATTTAAAGTGAATCATTTGGTAAAAAAATGGATTTTAGGAAAAGTTTCAAGATCTTAACTTCAAATTCCATTCCCATCTTGTGAAATGATCTGTAATGGTCTAAAAAAAAACTTAAATAGAATCGCAATCACAATTTGATAATTTCTATAGTTTCGCTCCACTTACTTTTCCGATGGCTGACCAATGTTTATTTGTATCTTCACCCGAACCAATTGAACCGAAATTGAAACGTTGCATTCATTTATTTATAGACTCATTCATTTTGGTTCATTGCTACTCATTGTTGTCATTGTCCATGGAAGCAAAAAGGCAAACCAAGAGCCAAACAGCGATGGTCCCCTCCTCCAACTCGTTTCCGTTTCCGTCCTCCATTGATGACTCCTCCAGTTGATGCTTCCACTTTATTGTTTTTCGCCCGTACTCATATTGATTGTATGAGTCTGTTTGCCTTATCTTCCGTATTGGCCATATATATTCTTTATTTTGCGAAGTAAAAGCCGTTGGGAGTTCTGCTGTTGTCACATTTTTGTTTTCAGTGCTCGTCAAAAAGAAAAAGATAAATTGCTTATAAAAACAAAGTGAATCATTTCCCTTTGCATAGAATTGTTTCTAGGAAAAATGAGCTCAGTGAGCAAATCGATTTGGTTTTATTCCCTATAATTTGATTATAAAATTTAAATACAATTCTATCTTTATGGAGGAAATCGAATGACACTTTTAATCCCAAAACAATTGACTTAAGTAATTGATTGAGTTTATGCTCAACTGGTTTATTGAAGATTTGACTTATCGTGTTAAATAGCTTGATTGGTTAAGTGGGTTTTAGTATTAGGTTGGATTTCGGGTGACTTAAGTACCTATTTTTATTTTTACAATTTCAGTAAATACAATTCTTAATAAAAAACAAGTTTTCATTTAAATGGAATTTTTTTCATCTAGAGTTTGATTTTTAAAGTTACTCAGAGACTAATTATGATATTTAATATACGTTTAAGGGTAGTAATATTTTCTAATTTGCCTGAGATATGGTAAAAGACAGATTATAAGCTTAACATTAAGGAAATCTTTTTTAAGGTCCAATGATAGTTTAAATATACCAAAAAACTTGGTATTGGGTTACCAACATTTTAAAAAAATTTTAATATTGCATCTTATAGCTCTCAAATTTGTTACGTATACGCACTGTGTTTCAGTTGTGGTTATTTTAAATTTATGAGATACGCTTTGTATTGAATCAAGATTTTTAACAAAGACATTTTTTTCCAGATCAATATATTATTTATTCTCTTTAAGAAAAGGGTTTTAAATCTAGCTTTGAAACTTAAGAACTTGACAAACTGTTCGTGTAAAAGCGTTATGCATACGCGCCGTGTACCAATTTGCATGAAACAAAATGGGAGTATAGGAGTATAGTTTTTAGAAAAGCCCACCCTGCTCATCAGTCACCCATCGGCACATCCCCATCTCCATCACCACCACTTCCATCTGGGGGATACAAGGTAAACTAATGCCATCTGGCTGCTCAGGCAATTTCAATTAGTTTTGCGGCCGTCGAGCGGTTTGTGCCATGTTGACGATCTAGGAGGCGGCACGTGTCCCGTTAGCTACCGCCCTGATTATGGGGGCGTGGCAGCCCAATTGTGCGCATAAATTGAGGCATATTGTATGCACTCAATCCTCCAGCGGTTGCCTGTGTGTGTGTGTGTGCGTGTGTATCTGTGTGTGCAGAGCACTTAACGAATTGCAACGGCAATGGAGGCGGTGAAAAACAGGAGCCCTGAACCCGGCGAATCCTTCGATCCTGCTTGTTTGCGCTTTGGCAATCATTAAATATTTAACACCTACTTGCCATGCAGAGCTGCCGATTGCAGCCACATCCTAGCCATGATTCACCCGTTTTTCCTGGTTCCATAAATGGTTATTTTCTGCGGCATTCGAGGGTTAACACGTTCCACTCATTTCATCGAACCACGCCCCCTCTACGCCCCCTTTCTCTTGGGCATAATTTAGTTTGCACGGTCTTGTTTTTTCCATCCCTACTTTGTTTGAACTCAACATTTTATGTGGTTTGGAATTTAAGGAAATCACAAAAAATGTATTCCCACTATTTTGTTCACACACATTTTGCAACTTTTATAATCGGTGGACTGGGTGACAAAAAGTTGAATATAATTTCAGATTTTTTTCCCCACAACGATTTCCCTGTTGCCGTGCCATTAAATTTGATTTCCTCTGGCTTTTTCCACGCTCGTGTCCTTGTGGTGCTGGAAAAACGTGTCTTTTTTCACGCTCCGGACAAATTGCGTTTAATTGCAATTGGCAGCTTGGCACAACAGCAAATGATATCAAATTTATGGCAACAGTGCGGCTCTTTAGTTGTCCCCAAATAAAAATGACGTCTTTGTGGCACATTTTAATTTTCATTTATTTTATTCTCTTTTTTATTTGATAAACTGACACGCGTTATGCATATAAATGCATAATGTTGTCCGGTTAACAATTATGAGTTTTTTAATAGATATCCCCAGTTGGTAATTGGTATTACAATACATTATAAACGGATTAGAGTCCTGCATTTTTACCTGGAATACAAATAACCAGTAAATAAATATTTAAATCGATTAGCACAATGTTTTTTCGTGCATTTTCAATTTGATGTTCGTGCTTCTTATTTAATAAATAAAAAAGTGATTTAAAATTGAACACCAGGTTACTTTCTTATTTATTTTATTTTTTAATTTATTTTAATACTTATAGACTTTTTTTTTTATTTTCCCTCTTAAAATAAAAATAAAGGAACAACTGCAGAAATATTTTTAAATTAATGAAATCTTTCTTTTAGTTTATTGATTTTTTCCCCATTTGGTTTCCCCGTTTTAAAATACATTTTTCTAAAGGAAAAGAAATTTCTCTTATAAGAGTATGGTAAAATCGATTCCCAACAATTTCCATTTCCTTACGTGCCTAAATGTCGCCACCCATAAATTGAGAGGGATGAACCATCTTGTGTTAGTGAAATGTTGTGGAAAATGTTATAGAAAAACACAAAGGCCCAACAAATACTTGCCACTAAGTCTCGAGTACTTCTGCTTAGCTTTTATCCCTTTTTTTGCCGCCATCCTGATAATTGCCCTTCATTTTGTTATTAACAGCTTCACAGACACTTAATTATCGGAATAATTTATGCCAAGCCGCCGTAGTAAAGTTTCCCAGAGCCAAGATGGTGATGCCGATGGTGATGATAATGATGATGAGGACCCTCCCGAGGAAGTTGAAAAGGAAATGAAAAAAATATATGTTGCAACACGAAAAGCGGGCAAAAAACTTTTGTTTAAATATTAACCAGCGGCATAAACCTCCGTCCCTTTTTGGCCATAAAAGTTGAAGTGTTTTTGCGGTTGCTGTCTTGACTGCTTGACCTGATGTCGTCGTGTTTGGCTAAGTAGTTGGCTTCCTTGTTGATTATTTGTTTTATGCTAGTTGCTTAGGGGTCCCAAAAACAATGCAAAAAAAAAGTTACTTACTCTGGCGCCGTCTGCCCGGAATTGTCTTATATATATTTATGAGTTAAATTTATATTCAAATTAGCTGGGGTTGAAAGGGCAGCACTGGCTGCATAATTCATAATTTCGATAATGAGTTCCAGGGTAGCATAAATATAAATCTCCCCCATTCGCACACATATAATCTACATCTTGCCGTTTTGACCCCGCGGGGAGGTGAAAGGGGACTAAAACAATGGCAGTCCATTGTTTTTTGAGGGTCGACTCAGGCACGTAAACAAATACGGCCTGCATGTTTGCATGAGTGTATTCATTTAACCCTTGACCTCTTGCCAAACAAAAGGGAGTGAATACGGTTGGGTATGTGGAAATTAAAACAACGCCTTGGCGCCTAACTAATATTTTTTCGCCCATTTTTCAATTGATCCTGAGTTTTTGATTTGAAAAGACCAAAACACTCAAAATTCGACCATAAATAAATGCCCGATAGTTCCATTGATTGGATATTTGTTTTTTTCGGTTGAAAAATATTTATAACAAAAAAATACCAACAAATAAGTTTTAAAATAGTTATGTATACATTTTTACACTAGATTAACCTTAAATAAAAAAGGCAAAATACAAAAAACCAGCGATTGAAATGCCCCACTAATTCCAAAAAATATTTTTCCAGTATTGAAATGTTAAAAAAATATTTCTGGATAAAAATAAAAAAAAAAAGTTATTAAAAAAAAAAGGCTGAAAAATAATAAATAATTAAGGTGACGGTGAATTTATTACTGTTACATAAAAACTTCTATAAATTGATACAGATTTAACCACAATGCAATATGTTCATAAACAAGCAAAAACCTCTTGTTTTTCATTTCGGTTAGAATAGGTTATTAAAAGCTTAAATCAATTTAAATAGATCTTTGTCTCCTATAGTTCCAACATAAATTTACCAAAATCGAAAAGCAAAAAGCAGGCTTTATTGATTGAAGTCGAGCTTGTGCTGCCGGATATTGCAGTATCAATTCTCGGCAAAATTGCAGAAGGCATAAACGAAACCTTTTTGCTGCTGTTGTGGCTACGTGCCTACTGGACGTAACCCAAAACCCAAAAACCAAGTGCCGAAAGCAAACACGAATACTTTGTATATAGGGCAAAGTCCGTACATCCCACCGTCCTCAACAAAAACTAGGGGCTGAGACAAGGGAATGGCCGCAGAAACGGAATGCAAATATTTTCGCTTCATTTTGGTTGTCGTACATTCCTGGCCGTTGTTTGCCGGCACTGTTGTTGCAATTAGGAGTGTTTACACTGCCTTCCGGGCAAACACGCCCCGAAATCACTTAAAAGTTGGCATTTTGCCTTCATTATTGTTTGTAATGCTGTGCAAAAAGGCACAATTTTCCTTATTTATTTCCCAAGAAATGTAGTGGAAACTTTAAATATTTTGATTGACACCCAATCATTTAGTTAATGAAAACTATACAAAACTTATTTGAATATTGGGTATTTACCATTATTACAAACTCTATATTATGTATCAAATGACTTAGCTTTCAGTTTCTCAAGAATCATGTTTATTGGCCGGAAAAACGACTTTTGGCATTTTGCCCTTAAAAATTTTACTTACTGCTCAATTAAATACAACGAAAACTTATAGTTTCTGGCACAAAATCAACCAGCCAATAATTCTTTATATATACAGAAAATCATGAAATATATTATTTAAATAATCTTCAAAGTTGCATAGCTTTTCATAAAATTTGAGGACCATCTGTGGTATTTCCTGATATGCAACTCCACTTGGTACAACTTGAGGTTGATCCAAATCCGTAAACTTAATCATAATCATATGTTACCATTGTTTTTAAAGGCCTTGATAATTTCTTCGGGTGTAAATCCATGATTGAAAGGATTATCCAAAACTAAGCATGGATCAATTTTCAGTCGCTTCGCCTTTTTTTCGTATAGAGTATTTAGATCTTGACCTCTTTTTAGACTGCATTTCGATTCAAAGGATTTTATTAAATTAAGGCAGTTAAGATCTGTTACCATTTCCCAGGTATTATCTTCATCGGAATAGTGCAACCACTTCACCAAGTATTGAACTTGACCCTTGTAACTCCTTCGATCCAATATCTTTTCCACAATATATTCTTCGGAATCCGAAAAGTCTTCATCACTACGATATTTGAATTCATTAGTATTTTTTTCTTTCCCATGAAATTTTTTTAAAGTTTTTTTTTTATCTGTTCAGATTTTTGACAGGAATGTCATAGCATCAAAACGTTTTCTTAACTTCATATTTTACTTCTTTATTTATTTCTTGAGACAAGTTTTATTTTCAAGTCAAGGCAAGTATTTTTCCTTGCTGAAGATTAGCATAAAAATATGAATATATTGAATATCTTCCAATAAAAAAGTTAAGAAGTTGTCTTATTCTAAATGCCCACAGCTTAGGCAAACGGTATTAATAAAACCCCATTCAGTATAAGAAAGTGAATAAAATTGTTTTCCCGGAAATCTATTAGATATCCCTGGATGTTGGGTAAGTTCTTTCAAACAACAACAACAATAGCAACCGTGAGTCGCTTGGGGGAAAACTGCGAAAAAATATCGTAAAAAATTATGCGTAAAGTTGGCGAAAAGTTTGAAATACTCGTACAACAAACTTTGTTGAGGTTGGTCTTGGGTATCACGATGTTTAATGAAGAAAATCTTATTTTTTATAAGGAGAACTTTTTGGGCCACGGAAATTGTTGATGGATCAATTGACATTCACTTAAAGAATATGTCCATAAATTTATTTTATTAAATCATTTCATCTTATTAAAATTATTTGATTTTATTTTGGCTAGCCTTGTAAAATACCCGGAAGCTGTTGCCTTAAGCTTTTGATTTTGTTTACAGAGAGTTATTTTTCTTAATATTCCTAATAAACTAAGTTATGCTTCCTGTCAAGCCAGACTTTCCATTTTATTGCTTTATTTTTTGGGCTCAAGGCGCCACGTACCTGGTATTAAATCGGCAAAGTTTTATTGGCCGAAATTAAAAGCTCGATTATGCATGTTGACGTGGGCCAGATTTGTTGGATTGAGCCGCCTGGTGGTGATGGCATTTTAGAGGCCGGGATTTACATGCGAATGCGGCAATCAAACTGTGCAGTGAGGGCTACGTGGACGGAATAAATCAGGCGGCTTACAAAAGAAGCAAGGAGTTGAAAAGTCACTGGGAATAAAAAAATAAAAAAAAGTGAAGATTCCAAAAGAAGGGGGCAGTTTTCGAAAGCCATAAATGGGGGCAGGCAATTTCCGTGCGGCGAGTTGTGAAATCAGCGACAAATCGGAGGGCAGGAAGTGGAGAAGTGGAAGTGACTGCCTATGCCATCATTTCCGGCAGCCATTGATTGCGGGGGAGGGGGAAAGGGGAGGGGGGCTCTTGGCCTGGGTAAATTCAATGTAATTGATAAGCGAAGTGTCCTGGCTCGAAGGATCCACCCACCATATGTATATGTATCTTATCTGTATCTGCCTATGTGTGAAAGCCCAAAGTCTTTGAGCAAACACACTGGCACACTCAATTAAGAAAACAATGGCGGCTCAGTTTGTGCGGCAATTGAGTTTTTCCTTTGCCATCTGCCTTGGCTTTAGCCCTCTTTGTTTTCCCTTCGGCTTTTCCTCTTACCCGTTAACCTTTCTCCACTTTCTACATCTCTCTTCAGGCCACTAAGACGCTTAGTCTTGCCACAAGCCAGTTTTGTTATTTGACTAGTTCTACGCTATCTTTGCCTTTTAGCCAACTCTTGGTTTTTGGCCCACACTCAGAATCACAATGACACCCCCTTCATTCCTATTGCACGCTCATTAGCCGTTGTCTTCGAGCCAATTTTACTGTCACTTTTTGCCTTGGTGTTGGCAGTGGTTCCTTTGTTCGCCATCTCCGCTTGACTTAACTCACTTTGGACTAATTTCCAGTTTTATTTGATCACCATTATAATTATTGTGTGTTTGTTTTTGACAGTGTTACGGTCATAATGGCAGGAAAGTTGGCGCGCAAGGCAAATTTGAACTAATTCGTTGGAGCGCTCATAAGTAGGCAATGGATTTTAATGATGTTTTTTTATCTATTTTAAGAAGTTTGAAATTTTGGGGTTTCTTTAGACATAATAGAAAATATTTAAATAAATATTTAAAAAGTATTCCTACATATTATTGTTGTTTCGTTTGTTTGTTTAAATCTAAAAAATTGTTAATTTTGTTAAATTTATTTAAATATTTTCGCCTTGATTTTGATATTTCAATTTGTAATATGGAATATTATTTTCAAAATTAAGTTATTTATGATTTTAAATTTAGATTTTTTATAAAATTTATTTCATTAAAAAAAAATTTCCCAAGTAAATATAACAAACATCTAATTAATATTTCCTACCTGGATTTAAATATTTTCAAATTAAATTATTATATGTTTGCATTTAATTTAAATTTTAAATTTAATTTAAATGCAGTTATTTATTTGTACTAATATATTCTTGAAATCTTACTTAAAAAGAAGGACCACAAAATGACTTAATATATCCTACACCCTTTTCCCCTTGCTGAATTTATGAAAAGCAATCCACAAATTTTAATTAAAACTGTACATATAAATATTGGTTTGTTTTTGCTATCTCCCAACCAGATTGCACCAATTAAAGTGCTAAGTATTTAAGGTCTTTTCCCAACTGAGTTCCATTAACACATCAGCTCACACATGCTGCACAGAAAGTTTTTCAACGCCAGGAAGAATAATTCATTTATTTCAGCCACACCAATTGTACATACATATATACGTTTATGCATATATTTGTTGGCATTCCCCGTTGGTCTGGCAAACTATCTTTCGGTCTTTGCATTCAGTTTTTGAGGCATTGTAAGCGATTTAAAATCCAGTGGCACAAAAATATGGCCAACTGGCAGCTGGCACATGGGAGCACTGGGGCCAAAAAGTTGTTTCGCATATAAATGATTTTGATAACGCGCCCTGACATTTTGTGACTTCATTATTCTAAAATTCAAATTATTCCAACGAACAATGGGATTCAGGAAATACAAACGGAAAAACACCGAAAGTGGGTCAGACTGTGGCTGACAATAAGTTTTATTAGCTCTCCAGACGACTGAAAAAAAAACAGGGGTATACCATGTGTAGTATGTTTTTCGATGTACAGGCATGTTACGCATACGCCACGTATACAAATCCGTAAATTTCCATATCTGTGGCACTGGTCAAATAAAGAATCTTGACGAGCTGGTGAAAAATTCTGCTGTTGATAAAGGTTTTCTGGGTGGGAAAAGCCCAGATTAAGTAATGTGAGCCTGCCTCACGTCAAAACACAGTTTCCCCAGTTCATTTCATCCAGCAAAGGGCCTGGTATAATTTATTACTCGAAATTTATATCATTTCTTTTGAGACAGACAATTGCCAAGACACTAATAAAATTTATTTCTTGCTTATGACTTATGAAGGGCAATATGGCGCGAAAACTTAATGAAAAATGGTTGCTCAGCAGTGCGACTGAAACGTGTTTTGGGGGGCTCCTTTGACCCCCTGGTAACCCCCTTTTTTCTTATTTTCCGACCAAGCAGCTGTGACCAACTAATAACCCAGGGGCGTGGCTAAACGTGCTGGCAAAAACTTTTTACATAATTTTTCTCCACTCATTTCTTACTTTTTTTTTTTTTTTTGTGTGTGTGTCACAAAACAGGCACTGAAATTTTTATATAGCTGATGCTCAGCTTACCGACCAAAGCCAAAACGGAAATCCTTAGTTTCCTTATGACAACGACATCCTCTGACACACAAACCAAAAAAAAAAAAAGGGAAAAAACCAAAAACAGAGAAAAAGTTTCGCCAGCGGAAAATTTTTTATTAGATTGCGTTGCAGTCACTTAAAGCTACAGATCGCAGACTTGCCCTTGGCAAATTGTCGGCTTCCGTCGAGGGCTTTTCCACTTTTATCCGGAAACGATGGCATATTGGCCATCGATATCGGCTCTTGGGTTATTAATTGACAGGGCTCTCATTGCTTGTCCGACTGCCTTTCGCTGGATCCCCATAAAAACCAGTCATTTATATTAATCAACTGAAAAAGTCGGATTGAAAATTTTTAACACCATCAATCAACTTTTGTGGCGGCTGCAAGGCAAACTTGCCAACTTTTGTGGCAAAACTAAACAATATACGAATATAGTGATGCTTCATCATCCCTCTGGGGTGTTGAAAATCAAAATATTTGCCAAACTCAGTTTTTGGCAAAGTTATCAATAAACACACAACATAAACTGAAAACAACCATAAATAAAAGTGAGGGGAAATTGATTTGGGTAAGATAAAATGGGAAATACTCTATAAAAAAAGTTTTAAAAAATAAGTAAGTAAAATAAGAATTTTTTATTGTATAAAGTAATTAAAAGGAAATTTTTGTAGGCATTTTTGTAAATTTGTATTTTTTACTTAAAGAAATATTGCTATAAACTTAACTTGCTCACCTTTGAAAGACATGTGTTTGCAAGTTCCAAATAACTTATTTAACCCCTTGAAAGGGCTCCAGGAAAATATGAAATTCCTTGTGGAAACTTTTATCAAAAACCTAAACCTCACATTGGAAACTTTGTCCCTTTCCTGCTGCCCTTCTTTTCGGTTTAAGCCCAGTGTTCTCTGGGTCTCCTAACAATTTTTGTGTATTTTACCCAAGTGTATAATGTAATTTGGTTTGACTTCAGGAACTGTGACAAGTTGCAAAATTTCACAACATCGATATAAAATTCCATCTTGATCAACGTCCGCCTTTTGTGGGCCATGTTGGCCATTTGGGCCATAAACGAAGCCATCGAGTCATATTGGCAGTCATATCTTGGGGGCCATGTGGCTCAGAATTGCCAGTAATAAAACGCATAAAAAGGATCTCTGTAAATGGGGAAATTCTGTTGCAGTTTTTATGTTCCCATCGTTCCCTGTCGCATTGCAATTTGGGGCATTGTCTTTACATCTGGGGACTTTGACTATGCGGTTCATTAGGCGTTATGGTAGTGCAGGCTGTCTTTTTATGGCCACTGTGGCGTAAGGGCCATTAATATTAATCATACTAAAGCTGTTTAAGTTATTCAAAAAGTCATTCCCACAACTGCAAACTATGATTACCACTTATCTGGCAAGGGTCTCAGTTGGTTGGGCTCTTTTCAGTGGATTCTTATTATCCTAATGTGATTCCCACCTGGGATACAAAAATAGTTGGGTCAGTTCATCATAACTAAATTTACATAAGTGGAGCTATTTAAAATGTAAAGTATTTTTGTAATTTTTGAAGGGTTTTTATTTAAAGCTTAGCTTTAAGTCTTAGTGCTTTGAATTTTTATTTAAATTAATCTCTTAAACATTTAGTTCACCTTGCTCTACGAAATCACTTAATGCGCCTGTGAAAGGCACACCTTTTAACCCCTTCTTAACCCCCTAAAACCATCTAACTGTAGGCGACAGAGCATGACAAGAGCGCGAAATGCGTAACAACTCGCATCGCATTTTCAAATGTCGAAAATTTTGAAAAGGTAAACCGTTTTACTAACGCTTGGCTGCACTTCTTTGGCCCACATGTTCAGACCCATTTAAATCAACATAGAGGAGGTGCATTTAAAACTATTAATGAAATGGTTCTGTATAATTATTTCCGAAAAAACCTTTAAAAAATACTTGGAGAAAAATTAGGAACGTAAGATAGCTTAACGAAATGTTCTCAAGTTGAGAACTCGTCGTCTCACTTATTTGAGAATAAAACGCTCTTGGATCGAAAGAAAGTACTCTCAAATTCAGTTTTTCGAGAGAAAGCGTCTTGAAATTAGTCTTAATTTTATTTATCGAGAGGAAAATAGGCTCGCGAACCCAAAGCTTTAATTTTGAGAAGGTGAGATTAAAGCACTTTTAAGATCAAAGAAAGTTTGCAGAAAGTTTTTTCTGAGTGTTCAAAAAAATATATTCAAAATAATTATGTTTTAAATTTTGTTTATAACAATAACGTTTACAAATGATTATTTGGATAGACCATTTTACACTTAATATATATTCTCTCTGTTTCTAAATTTTTCGGGTCACCTGACTTAAGGAATATACTTCTTAAATTCCCCACTAAATTAAAAAGTTACAAGTGTTCCAACAAGCCGCATCAATGATGGAGTAGATGAAGAATTTCTGCCCAAAAAGCTATCTTATAATCTGCGAAAAGGAATCTGTGATGAATTATTGCTTGCCAAGGTGTTGTCTGTTTGTCCATAATTCCCGAAAGCCATCACCACACTCCAGATCCCCCGGAGATCCTATAGTTTTTGGGGGTCTTTCAACGACGACGACGATGACGATGACGACGACATACTTTGCACATGCTTGTGAATGACATTTTGGCATATTTTCGCCTTTTATATGCCCGGCCTGGTCTCGGTCCATCCTGGTCTCTTTGCTTAAAGGAAACAGCTGCCAACTGGGTTTCGCATTCGCATTTTGGAGCAAATTGTGAGGGATGTGTTTGAATGGGGAATGGAATGGGGAATGCGATGGGATAGGATGGGATGGCTGTGGTTGCTGGCCGGCTTTTGGAATTGTGCGCCAGAATTCCAACTATGTGTTTGACTGGGCCCCCTTTGGGGAATCTCTTGGCCTGTCTATATGGGGATTTCCTGCCGGCTGATGAGTGGCTCTGGATGTGAACGACGACTCTGGCATCTGGTGGATATATCTGAGCGCCGACTTGTTTGCTGATATGCATCCCATATGCTCACACTTGCAGGTAACAATCAAAGTCATGTTGACGTTCAATTTAGCCGCTGTTGATTTGTGTCGTTGGAATTTTCTCCATTTTTCTTTTTTGTGGCCCTTTTCAGGTTTTTCCCCCATCTCTCAATTTTTTTTTTATTTTCGGACCTGACCTCGTTCTTGGCCCTGTCCAGTTACGCAACTACTATACGTTTTTCACTTTTCTTTCTTTTTTTTTTTTTGGTTGTTGTTATTGTGAGGGTGTTTTTCCACTTGCGCTGTTTTATCCAGCGGTAGGACAAAAAGGTACCGAAAAAAATTGTTTACCCGTGATTTATGGCGCGGAATTTGTGCTTACGTGGCAATGCAGCAGCGACTCCTCTTCACCTGGTTCCAAAAGCACTTTAGCCCGTCGTCATGTCAGATCTGCTAATGCCTTGAAAAATTTGCTCACTTCCGGTTAGGAGCTCCCACTTCCTTTTTGTCTGGCTGGGATCATTTGTTTGGGCTAAGGATTTCATTTCGCTGCCACTTGGCGTATCCCGGAGTTTTATTCATCATCTGTTTTGATGGTTTTTTGAATCCCTTGTTGCTGTGGGATGTTTATAACTTATACTATTTTATTTCAATTATTTTCAAAGCCATATTATCATTTTAACCAAAGGATTTTTAACGTTTTGTGGTACTGTTATGAAGTATTTTATTAATTTTATAGACAATTGAATATTTTGCTGTTTGTATTCTCTTTAAATGCGAAAATTTTATAAATAATATTTATAGTTATTTATGGCTTTAAACTTTTATTCCTTTGAAATTGTTTTTCATTAAGACTAAAATGCTACAAGTAAAACGACTAGCATCGTATTTAATATATTTTAATTGATTAAATATTTCCCAATTAAAAAAGACAATGTAAATGTATGTTGTATGTATTTAATTTTTATTTTTGTATTAAATAAAATAACAACTGCGAAATTGTAAATTGAATATAGATATTTATTGTACTATTAATATTTTTTAACCAGTTTATAAACCATGTGTTATTTGTTCATTATATTGGATAACGATTTTATTGCTTTGGTATTACAGGATATTAGCTTAAATATTAGATTCAAGTTGTAAGGTAGTTATTGGGAATTAAGTCGAGTTAAATTTACCATCAAAACCATAATAATGTTATATTTGAAGTGGCTTACCATTCTAATGCGAGTTAAATGCAGGAGGAATACATTTCAACGAGTTTATTTATGCATTCAATGGGATTTATAGACCTCAACCGAACTGGCGATTATCATATTTCATTGTTTGGCCAAATAGCAGGCGCAAATGTTTATGGCCTGGCCAACTGGCATCATTTATCAGCTGCAAGCCAAAGCCACTTAATGGCAGCGGCTGACACGCCTTTTTGCCGACAAATCAACCAGCCGCCCACCGCTTAGAGAACCCCTGGTACTTTTCCAGTTCGGTTCCCATTTCACCATTTCCCCAGTCGGCTCAAAAGTCAAAACCACAGAGAAGAGCCGAGATTTAAGCATATAAAACAGAGCATTATTCGCAGGCGGTAGCAGCTAATGCAGGATTTTAAGTGGAAGTGGAAGTGTATAAGGCGCAAAAATAGTTGGGAGCCTCGGGCAGAAGTGGGCTCTTCATAAATCCATGCAAAGCACATTAAAATATTTCAAAGATTCGCCCCCCCCCAAAACGAAGCTATGTTAAGCGGCTGAGGCTGCATTTGAACAAAACGCTGAGCGTTGGAAAAATGTAAAAGAAATACACAAGATAATAGAAATGCAATGCTTTGGAAAAAAAGAGGAAAATGTGGAAAATAGCAGACGCCAGCAGGGCAAAGGGAAATGGAAAACGGGAAAACACACGGAAAAATGTGTGGGAAACTGCTGAAAAGAAGCCAAGCAACTAAATTTTGTACAGATAGAGGAAAATAGTACGAATAACTTGGTTGTGAGTGCATGCGAGTTATGCACACAATGGGCTTGTTTGTAAGTGAATACAAACTAAATTGAGTCGCTGGTTTTAAAACGGGTATCTGGTTTTTTGAAAAAGGGGACTGCTATAGTTAATAAATGCTTTACAAAATTATTTTTAAATATTTTGAAGGACTTTTAAAAAGATCCTAAGAGAAACCTTCTTTTCGCGGTCAAAGAGTTTTTTTTTGTTTTAATATTACTTAACTTTATAAGAATCTCATTACAAAGACCCCAACATTTTGAAAGCTACTTGACTAATCGGTTTTTCTAGTTCGAGCCTTATAATGGCTTCTAAATACTAAAGATATAAATACATTCTATATTATAACAACATGGAATATTCAAAAGAAATCATACAACAGAAAATATTTTTTAAAAATGTATAATTCTGATCGTCTATAATATGTTTATCCATAAATTCACTTTGATTATTAGCCAATTAACAGGATTTAAAGTTTGAAGAACTTTTTCCCATCGTCAAAAACCCAAAAAAATAAAAATTATATAATGGAAAAGTTAACTTGCATTTTAATTACCACTCCCAAATAATTTTCCAAATTACCATGCTCATTGTTCAATAAACAACTGAGTTGGGAAAGTTGCCCTGTTTGATATATGGACTTATGTATTCCCCTACAATTTCATTCGAAATGATTTACGCGCTTAGAGGCGCATTATTTGAATGGCGTCTGTGGCAAACAATGGCATTGTGTTTCAGCCTGTGTTCTCTGGCAAAATTGCAACACGAATAATTGACAGCATTTCTGTGGTGCAGTGGCAACTCATTAAGGCGAATATCATGTGGTTTCGGTGACGCTCTGTTCATATCAACGAAATGCCACTGTAGCAAGTACTTGCATATGGAATTTCGAATCGCTTAAGTGTCAACTGCGTGGCAGTATTTTGAGTGTGATATCGTTTGTCTTTTCTGATGCCTGGCGGCCCTCACATAACATATTTTATACCCCATATAATACACCGACTAACCCAGTTTTGCAAGGAGAATCCAGCACGTATTCGACAAGTTTATGTTGAATGGCACCGTGTAAATTGGGCAAATTACAATAAATTGGCATATTCAAGTGCCTCGAGTACATGTGAATAAATGCCATAAAGTGTTGTCATTTTACGGTCCTGACATGACCAGATCCAGAATGAAGAAAAACCACAAAACCCGCTTGCAGATGGAAATGCAGATGTGGTTTTGTTCACATTAACTTAGCCACTAGCTGGTTTTGGCCCTGTGTAAGCCGGCTAATTGTGGTGAATCTATGAAGCAGTTTAAGACCATTGTGAAATATATCTTCTCGTTAATGATGTCCCATTTTCGGGCGATGAAACTGAAGAGCCTTAAGGCCCATATAATTAATGATCAAAAGCATTTCACAGGCATGCCATCTTCTTCCTATAGGCATTCATATTTCTGGTTAATGAAAGAATTTATGCAAGGTTAATTAATTTTAACGAGCCCAGCGACAAGCGGCAAGGACTTTCGCTTCACGGCTGACAAACGACAGGCAATAACAGCAACAATATGAAGTAATAAAAATGCGGTGAACAAATGCTTGTATATATAGTAATTACCAAGTGGTTTTTCTTGTTTTCCCAGCGACCTTGGGCCCCAGACCGGTTAATGGGGGGTACGAAAAAATATATAAATCTAGGAAAAAGGCGGAGAGAAAACCAAACAAAATGGTCGCCAGCTGGAGTTGAAAATTTGATGTCGTAAATCACACACGTAAATTGTGACACTCGTTAATTTTAACGCTCGAATGTCACCCTCATCCCGCATTTATATTTGAGTTTTTGCCGAGTTTGGCACCGGCTGTTCCAAGTGAATAACATTTATCACAGAGATCTGGCCTTAAGTATGCGATTCACATAATCTATGACAATTCCAACTTTTTTAATTGAACCAATTAAAATGGTGATAAAATATGGAAGGCAGCAAAAATTACACACAATAAGGATGTTGATTCGAGCTGAAAATAATATATTTTACAATCTGGTTATTATTAATTTTTAATAATTAAAAATCAATATTTCTTATCTTACCTATATTAATTCATTGCTGTCATTGGTGTTTTCTACATTTTTTATTTTTAGTTTTGAGATAAAGTTGAACACTTTTTGTCTATTTATATATTTTTAGATAAAAAAAATTAATATTTGTCTCCTTATATATAATTCATTTCTTTTTTTACAGCTTGTACTTTTAGTATTAGATAATTAAAAATAACACTTCTTATATCATTGAAAAATCATTGTTGTTTCTACATTTAATTGCCAATTTTATTGTTTAAACAAGTGGCTTAGGTAAAAGAAGAAAAGGAAGATCTTTATCATTTTTTACCCCTTACGTTTTTTCAGTGTATTAATTTTCAGAATTTCTTCGCAGAAAACCCTTTTGTGTACATATTCAGATATGTGGCACAAAAACGGAGGAAACAAACTAAATTAATTAGCGACAAAGGATTGTTCCGAAAGTGCAACTTTCAACCCTTTTTGGTGGATTTAGTTGAAAACTTTTTCACCTCTAATGAAAAATGTAGGTTTTGTAACAACAGAAACTATAAATAAGAAAATACCTGAAGGAACCCCGCGAAAATTTCATTAGAACATTTTCTTAAAACAGAAATGTCGTGAAAGTTTCTGGGTCACACAGCTTAAAAGTGTGGTGAGAGTTCTCTGGGGTTTGTATTTATATATTTGTAGGTATATATGTTAGCCAGCATTTTGTTCCACTTGAAAAGTTAAGAAGGGCAACCGCCGTGACCAAAGAAAAGTTGTCGATTGTTTGGTAATTTCTTCTGGCAGCTGCTGTAACCCAATTCAACCGTTGTTATGGCCAAATTAACACTTTAATTTCACTTAATTCAAGGCGCCAACAATCAATCAGTTCATCCCTCAATTGGATTATTTTTCTTTGGCTAGAACTTAAATGGACCTCATAGTTCCCCGTAACCTTAGTCCCTTTGGTTGATTGATGGTCTAATTGATTGATTACCTCGATATATATTTGTTAGATACCCAAGGGTGTGATAATGCCCATTTAAAGTCTATATT